TTAAAAACATGAAAGGCCCTCTCCAGAGCCAGTGTTTGGTTTGTCTCTTCTTGGTTGCAGTAGAAACATAAAGCATTTTGCGGACTCCATGGAAGAAGACCCACTCCCTCTGTAGATATAAAATCATTTTCAGGTAATAATAACACAAAGATTCTTGGTTTCAGGTCATTATATACTAATGAAAACATAATATTTCACTTCTGCCATTAAATCTGTCTAAATCACACTGGTCCCTTAAAGGAACACTATGGAGTTCTCTTGTAAACAACCACATACTTCATTTAATGTTTCTCTCAAAAAAAACATCAATGCTAACATTGGCGAACCAGTTTTATTTTGGCCTTTCACTGGTACATTGTTACACTGGCCTTCAACCGTTCTGAGTCAGTCTTTTATATCATTGGTTTGGCCTTATTTGAAATGAATTGGTGGTTTTGGTGGGTGAACAATAATACAGAGTTAAAAAAATAGTTTGTCTTGTAAATTGAGCGGTTCTTCAGAAAATCAGAAAATCTTCTACGTTTTATTTAAACTGTAAATCTCACATGCTTTTACCTTTAATCAATAGTCACGCTCCAGCTTGAGGGGCACAGCATTAGTATATTCAATGTATTATTTATTAACTACAACAAACCACACTAATATTCTGGATTATTCTGTCATCTCTAGCTGGAGGAAGGTCTAGTGATGCAGTTCCCGGAGCCTTCAACCCAGTTGCTGAGCTTAAGAAGCTGAGACAGGCCCAACAGAACCGCTGCTGCCTGGAGATTGGAGAGCTGCTCCGAGTCAGAGGACCGGTCAAGACGTCAAGGCAGCAGAGAGAAATCATGGCCTCCACCTTCTGTGAGTGAAGAGAACTGCCCTCAGACTTCTTGTTTAATCTGCAGCACATAGTAGCTGTTTGATATTGGAATTCACCCTCCATGTTTACTGAATTACCAACCTGCTACATTAAAAACATATTAGAATAACCCAAAGAAAAGTACCAATATCTGGTTGTTAACCTCAGAATGTATAAATGCTCAGACAAGAACACGCATTAGTTCACACAGTCCTCTACCCACACACACTTGTGCCTTGCAAGGTCACTCTTCACTGTGGCATGCTGTCTCATTTTGTGATGTCCTACAAGACTCTTTCATACACATGTACACAACCTCACACAGCACATACACGGTAGCTCTATCTTCTGCTCATTCATCACGTGTGTACCTGTGTCCATGTGTGTTACCAGATAAAGTGAACGACCCAGTGATGACAGCCCAGATAACGTGGATGATGGAGGTTCCCCAGCTATACAGACAGTTCTATGACAAACCACTCCAGCTGCAGATTACCACACAGTGAGAGACCGAGTCGAGACAACCAAGGATCATATCCAGTGTTTTGGCCAAAATATTTTCTGGTGCCCTGAAACAGCATTTAGTTGTTTGTTACATGTAAACTCTTCGTGAAACAAATGAAAAATGGATTTGTTGCAGTTTCCAGATGATTGGTTCTCATCTCTACCTACTCAGTTCTGGAAGAAACTGATCTGTCCGATCTACATATGTACATGACATAGTCAAAGTGGCCTCGTAGACTCTGTACAGCGTCATGTCTAGTTTTGTGAATGTTGCAAAGTTAGTACCAGAAAATGTACTGTTAAAGAAAAATCAATTTGCAAATGCAGTTGGCAACAAAAGAAAACTGATTTATACTCTCAGTACACTTCACCGCCTTTCAAATCCCCATAACAAGCTTAACATCACACACGTCTTTGACATATAGCATCATAGCCATTATACTTTCTAATGCACCAGAATACAAACAAACAGAAACAACTTTTGCATAGATTTAACTTAATGAGCATAATGTAGATCAAATATTCACTTTCCTTTTACTCTGTTTTGGCTTCCACCAGTCTTTGTTTTAAATACATAGTTCTTCTGCTACTAAAAGCTCTACAGCATTATAAAGCTAGTCACTAACCTTTGTCTGCCTCCTGTTGGGTGGTGGTCAGGGTGTGTGCTGCAGGTTTTGTAACCATTTGAGATGACATGAGAGCAGTAAAGACGGTGACAGAAAGATTGTGCTTGCCCTGAAGAGAGCTGTGGATCCTTTCACATTACACAACTTATTTGATCAAATGTGAGCATAGATGTAAGCATTAGTATAATTTATTCTAAGGCCTCGTTTTGTGTTTGTTCTTCAGGGCCTCGACCATCACTCCCCTCAACAAGGCAAAAAATATCATTGAGGATTTCTTTAAGCAGCAGTCGCTAAGCAGGTTCAGGCCTTATGATGTTCAAGACCTTCTGCAGCCTCTCATCTCCTGCCAGCCTCAAACATCTGCTGACCAGGTATGCCAGGGGCAGAGAGAAATAAATAAAATAATAAATCATTGTATCTAAAAGTATGTACGTATGCATCTGTTTTAAAGTCTTTTATTATTAAAGCTGTGATTTTGTGTCCTGCTGCTCTGTGGCCGCTCAGGAGCCTGTGGCAGGTCCGTCTGGCTACCAGCAGCTTCGGCAGCTTCTGAAGGAAACCCTGGACATTTTACAGAAAGAGGGCGTCATATACCGCAAGGTCAAGTCTCAGGATGAACTCTATCATGTAAGAAACAGATTTTCTTCTTCTTTTCTACCCATTTCAATGGGTTGTTATTGTGAGGCTTTATTAGAGATATGTGTCTGTCTAATGCTGTTGCTCCTCACTAGGTGACTGCACAGGATAAAGATCTATTCATAGCTGTAAAAGACATCATCAGAGAAGACTCGAGGAGAGAGAAGTGTAAGAGCATGTTCTTGTATTCTAAATGAAGTTGGAAACTTTTGACTAATATTGACCGACTCTAGTTTTAGGTTTGACTGAGTGACAGTCCTCTCTGTGGCAGCATTTCGAGTGTAAGAGTCGTAACTCTTGAGCTGAAATAATCAAGAGTGAAACATATTTACCTGCTTGCACTATAGGGTTAATGTAATGTCTTCTGTTTCCAAAATAAAATGTTTTGTATAGTAACATGTGAATAATTAATACAATATAAATCCTAAATAACTCAAGGAAACACTGAGAAATGGAACAACATTAATTAGTCTCCATATAGCCTTGGTTTGTATGGATATATACTGTACCTGTGTGTTGAAAGTTGTTTCCTCCTCTGCCCGTAGATGCAGAGAAGGGCTGCCACATCCTACACATCCTGTCAGCCGTCAGGCAGAGGTACAGCCTCAACGTGAACAAAGCGGCACTGGAGCTGGTCCTCAAAACACTGGAGTGCAACAGTGACATTGTCAGCACCAGTGAAAACCATTACACTGTGTTTTAACACAAGTACAGTGCGTTGGGGACCCCCTATTACGACATAATATTTGTCACATGGCTTATTGCTCCACAATGTGAGCGACCAATGTGAGTAAATCATATGATTTAAAAAAGAAAAGTGATGGACGAGACAGGAAGCTGTGTTAATGCCAAAGTGACTGCTGCTCTCAGAGATGCCCTTGCTCCACATTTGGTCCATTTGATATCATTGCTTTTATTTTATGTACACGTGCCAAGTTTACATGCTAAGTTAAGTATAAATCATTTGATAGACATGAAGAGAGAAAATGAACTTCAGGGAAGTTATATACATGTGTAAATAAATAAACATGCAAAAAAAACGTCTGCTTTTTTAACTGTTGACAGTGAAGTAGTTATACCTTCGACCACCAAAATCAAATCAGTAATTATTAAGTCGTAGTAAAGCTTAGTGCCAAATGTGAAAGGATTCCCACAAGGTGTTCTGGAGGTAGAGCTCAAATAGAAAATGAGTCGGTGAGTTCACAGCGACCTCGGACCACCAACATCTAATCGGTTCATCCTTGATTCCAAGTTAATATTTTACTGATTACGAAGAAATTCCCTCAACATCCTGTTCACAAGAATACCATGAACGGATGGATGTACAACCCGGAAATATAGTGCCCTTGGCCACTGGCTGTCACTGGCACGGAGGCATAAAAATGCAGCTCATGTGTGGCTGTATTAACCTTCTCAGGTGCCCTGGGAATAAAAAAAGGCAGCTGTTCCTCCACTGGTCATCATGAGCAACATACATGTCCCATTAGCCCCATGTTAGAGCTGACCCAAATCATCTGAGCACAATATTACCCATATAAAAGAGTTATAAGCATATTGGATGCCGTAACACCACATGCACCACTATGTCATTTCTGAATATTGTTATAATGGTAAAATCTGAACAGAATAGCCAGCATTTTTCATGTAACACAAATATAAGAGCTCAATTATGCCATGTTAACACCTCATGTACCACAGATATACAGGGATATAGGAAATGTGTTAGATGTATAGGTGTATGTTGTTTATAGGCTTTATTTGTATACATTGAGACACAGACAATCATTTCAATCTAATCAATTTAATATCACCCAGACAAAAGAGCATAGAGTTTAACTGTTAAGATCTTCACTACTTCATGTCCTAGATTTGCTGTGTATTAAATTAAATACTGTATTTGTAACATATAAGCACAAAACTGAATTAAAGATATAATGATGACAGGCTCTAAACTAGAGGTTTGATAGAGGGAACATTTTTAATACAGGGCCTCAGTGTCAGGTATTAAGGGACGACCCAGCTTAACGTCATTATATCAGTTATATTATATTACCAGGGCTGGATTAACCTGCCAGTGAGCCCTGAGGGGCAAAAGCCATAGACACATTAAGCTGCCTGTGTAAGTCGGTTGAATGCAAATTTGTTCAGGAATACACAAATGAAAGTATGCTATCTACTGACATTTGAAAACATTGGATTTTTACACAGGGGTGTGAGACAAGATGAGACAAGAATTAAAAGACTAAAGGGCCCTCCAGTGGTGGCTGCTCAAAAGAGGTTGGTCCACGTTGACGCAGCAGAGGCTGACATATTCTGACTACCCTAGTCTACCTCAAAAGCACTGGACATTTAAAATAATACAAATGATCTGGTTCATATTGATACCCTTTTTAATTTAAACGTCATGGCAGTAGTGATAGGCAACTAAACTTCAAGAGCAAAGTGTAAAATCCTTGGTTTGCACTCTCAAGTTCAAAGTGGGATTGACCTGAAAAACCATTTTCCATTAGATTCTATCATAATCAATTAATAATTGGGGTGTGGGGCCTAGGGGCAGTTACCCACACTGCCTGGCAGGTAATCTAGCTCTTGCATATTAACATACACTTACTCACCCACATTACCACAAAGCAGTGACACACAATTCCCCTGGAGCATAGGGCCCCTGCAGACTTGGGCCCCCTGGGAGAAAGCTTATACTTTAGCCCCACATATTAACATACACCTATTCAAAGGCAATTCTACAAAGGAGTAGCCATGCAGCACCCCTGGAGTATTGAGGGCCCCTGGGGGTGGCTGGGTCCCCAAGGCAGTTGAGTGGGTTGGGTTCATTGTAACAGTAAATAAAGTAGATTTCAATAAGATGACACTGAGGTGGGGTTTTAAAGGTTTATCTGGGTTCTCTCTGTCTAAGGACAGAGGATGTCCTGATGCTGGGGACAAATATTGGATGGGATGTTTCAATAAAATCAAATCGACTTGAGCTGGTCCTGGTGAGGATGCTCTGTCGAAAAACATTCCACTGATTCAGACATTTCTCTTATCTTTCATTTAGGAAGTAAAAAGGACGTGTAAATCGCAGCCTCTGTCTTCAGGAGCGTGCTCGTGTTGTGCGCACGGGGGCAGTGTTTGGTCGCTAATTGGCTCTTTCATGTGGAGCAGCCTGCTGCTGATTGGTCGCCGGCGGAACATCTGTATCCATAGTTCCAGCCGCTCGTGTCTCCGGCCAGAAAGCTGCTCGTGACTCAGAGGCTGGATCCCTGTCATCTACCTGATCATTATTATGACAGCTCACAGCGCGTGTAAGAGCACCCTGTGACCCGCAGCGTATCATACTGAAACACACCACCAGCCTACAGCGGCGCCAGATGTTCGAGACACATTGTTCCATATCCTCTCAAAGTTATGAGGACAGAGTCGAACCGCTGCCGCATTCTGTCGATCAGCGGCACAATCGTGTCACAGGAAGGCAAAGCCACAGCGCTTTTTATTCCAAGTAGCTGAGGACGCGAGTGAAGCCCATCCCACTCAGTTCCCCTAAATTCACTGCGCCTGCTGGAGCCCGGGGGCCGCTGGGCTGGATGTGCCGGTGCTAACGCTGCGTCCATCCTGTCTCCTCCAGGTGGGATGCGGATCCTGTCTGCGGACACCGCGGCAGACACAAAGGAGCGAGCCTCACTTTCTGTTTTTTTTTTTTAAAGGTAACCACCTCGATCAGCGCCGGCCAGCCTGTGTGTGAGTGTGTATGTGTGGGGGGGCTAATCGCTGGATATATCCGTCTGCGCACATTTCAGCCGAGGGGCGAGCAGCGCGCGGCTCTAAGTGGACTATCGATAAGTTTCTGATCAGATCGACGCTCGTCGACCGGGAGGAAGAGGAGGAGGTGGCGGGCTGCTGCTGCTGGTGGGTGTTTTTGGGGAGAATCGCCGGCTCTCCTCGAGTGGAGCCCACGGACTGAACTGCTCGATGACACAGCGATGAATGTTGTGATTTCGCTGCCGTGATACGAGGAGGATCCGCGCGTCTGGAGCCGCCCCAGCTGCCCGCCAGCCCGCCCGGCTCCCTCCGCTCTCCGCCCGCCGCCTCTCCATGCAGAGCCTCTGCAGGGTCAAGATGCAGTTCCGGACTGTGCTGGACGTGAAAGTCGTGGACGTGGAGAAGAGGCGCAATCCGTCCAAACACTACGTGAGTTGCCTGCACTGCCTCATCCTGTGTCACCTTTATCCCCCCCCTCACGCACAGCTCGTCCCATGTCAGCGGTGTGTCTGTGTCCCCCCGGCCTTTTCCCAGTCCCAGCATGTCACCTAAACGCCGCATTTAGTCCAATAAACGCAGCTTAGCTGACAGCAGGACCACTACCAAGCTAGGCTCATTGTTAGGACCCTTTATATATATAGTGTATGGTTAGGACTCCACACTGTGTTACTGACATATAGGCGAGCTGTCAGTGCTGTTGTCAGTGAGCAGCCTGGATGTGTCCAGCACTGTAACCTGGTGCTGCAGGTGATTGTGTTGGACTTCCTCACACACTGTCAGCTCCTCAGATGTCCATGATGGAGCCCTGCTCTAATGCTTCCATGTGCTGTTGGTGGTCACCTGCTAAATAACTGAAGACCAAATGACATTCATGATCAGTGCAAGCTCACCTGCGTCTCTCATGGAATTGTAAGGTGTGAGCAGAACTTCCACAGCCACACACTCCTCACAGCCTCACAACGATTCTACATAGTAGAGGATTTCGTTAGTAGAGCATTAAAGATGACTGTGTATATAATGCATGGCTTGGGATCCATCTTAGTCCTCTGACAAGTAATCACATACATGCAGGATTTATTTATGTAGCTTATAGTCTCATATAGAATAGCTTCAATGAAGACAAAGATCCTTATGTGCACATTTACGTTCAGGAACATGACCGTTATCCATAGAGACTGGCAGGTTTAATGGCAAACAGACAGAATGAGGGACATTTTTTCTTTTACTGTCCTGTGTATCAGGACACAGAGGATGTTCTCTTTGGTAAAATGTGTGCTTGTTTCTTTTGGTTGGATGATTATGAAAGACTTAAGTTGTGCTTCAGGAAGGGAAGTTTTGTAGTAGCAGATTTTTAAGGCAGTCAGTTAAAGAAGGCAGATTTTTATTTTTGTTATGACCAAGCTGTAAAATAACAGACAGCAACTTATACCCATGAGGGTATAATTTCCTGTCTAAAATGGAGATCACCCTGTCTGTGAAATGATCACTGGATCCTGAATACCTCTGCACCCAGTCCAGTTGACTAAATAACCTGATTTAATGGCTGTACATTTTGATATCATATAATATGATCTTCTTCAGCAGGTAGACATTTCCTGGTTGTCTATGGACTCATACATGTTGAGATGTGGATGAGCTTATGAAGGACCTCTCGTCCATGGTGGCCTAGAAGTTACAAGAGGTTTAAAAGTTCATTCCAGATTTTGGAGACACTTGGCAGAACAATCTTGGAAGGTGTCAGACTTTATTTTAGTTGAGATTTAAGTTGTGTCATTGATTATTTAAAAATAATCTAGGTCACTGCTTTCCACATTCACAACAGGCTTCAGTAATTATTGTTACCTTCCCGATCCTTGCATCCTGTGGCCTTATCAATACCTCACTTGTTATTAGAGCCTGTGTTGGGCCTCTGCACTTCATGGCCCCAGTTCAGATCCTATTTCCACCTCATAAACAAGTCATAATAAATGACCATCATGAAAAGAACATGATCTTGTTCATATGTAATTACAGTCCTGCAGACCCTCGGGTCTAATGATATCTTAGCACAATTAGCTCACTTGTCTGTAAAGGAGAATTCACAGGGCTCCTGCCATGTGTTACCATATATCAGACATACTGTACCTGCTTTACAGAAGTGAAAATATGTTATAAATCCTAGACATGTAGTAGTTTTATTGTCTTTTCTAGAACAATATGAGGATATGATGTAGTGCATCACATCACTAACACACGTACTGTATTTTACTACAGGTGTATAGCATGGGGTTGGCCTCCGTGAAACTGATCCCTAATCTCTGACCCTGTCGAAGCATCACTGTAAAGGGCCCAGGGCAAAAATGAGCCAAGGGTCCCTATTGACACCCCCTCCTTCGTTCCTGTCACTCTTTGTGCATTGTTCCTTCAAGTATTCATCAAGTACAGTGCACACAGCAGAGTACACATGGCAGCTTAATTATAGTTTGCCTAGAGCTCTTGAAACCAGTACGCTCATACTGGCATCCATAGCTGCCCCCAGGTTTTGCTGCGTTCCAGGGAATTTGTGTGTACTTGATGGAACACAAACTCATTTATGCTCCATCATGTAAGAACAACTACAACAGAAATTCAAATGTTCTTAAAACAAGATGTTGGTAAGATAAGGTAACGATGCAAGTCATGCCTGAAGACATTGCAGTTAATATTGTGCTTCAGTGAAGCATATTACCAAACAGATTAATGTATTCAAATGACAGCTAAACATATGATATGAGATGGCTTTGGCCTTGTGGAACCTTCTCGGTGAACCAAAGATTATAGTTTAGGATAGCATTAAAAATGGATGTTGGGGAAACAGCTGGTCTGGGTTTGTCAAAAATAGAAAATACACTTATAGTATCAGCACCAAAGCTATCCAATTTACATGTCATATCTTTTTGCTTAACCCGAAAAGAAATGTGTAAAATGTCAAACTGTGAATTTAAAACTTGAAAACGTTTTTGGCAGAGCCAGTCTCTGCTTCCAGTTTTATGGTAATTCACATAAAAAGCTAATCACTGCTTGTCTCAAGGTATATATTTAATGTACAGACACAAGACTCACTCCCACTCGCTCCCATGTTGTTTTTGTCATGCTCTTTGTTAAATGTGAGGAACCACAGTGGAAATAAACCATTGGGCTCATCTTGGTTATTTATTCTCAAAAATTGAGACTACTTTTAATCTGTATTTTTCAAATTTCCCCCTTGTGGGACAAATAAAAGATTATCTTATTTAAATCATATACCCATAATTCAGTCAAATTCACTCTCGACAAGGAAAATACTAAAATACAAACCCGGTCAACAAATAATTGTATGTAGCTGACTAAAATGATAAAATAGGCTAACAAGCAGGATTCTCTGGAGACAGTAAAGTCTGCTATTACTAATATATACTATTATTAACTCATACTTATTGTTTCCATAGCGTAGCTTGTCAGTGTGATAGCAGCTGCCCAACTCAGTTAAGCTCCTTAGGTAGACTTGTTGAGTAGAAGCCAAGCTTTATTTTAGGGTGGAAAGATTCTGAAACCACTGTCTCTTTACACAATATAGAAAGAGAACCTGTGATATCAGAACCCCCAAAGCCCTGCAGATACAGCCTGTTGAGCGCTCATAATTTATCATGTAAATTTAATGCAACACAACTCATTTTTATTACATAATTAACATTATAACACATGCAAATTACCAAATGAGCATTCTATTTAAATTTAAAGGTCCAGTGTGTTAGATTTAGGTGAAAGGAACTATATGCAGAAATTGAATGTAGAATAATCCTCATGATGTTTTCACTAGTTCATTTCATCTAAATTATATGAATTGTAGTTTTCTTTACCCCAGAAAAGACTCTTTATATTTAAAAACTTTATATTTACATCGAGGGGACGCTCTCTACAGAGGCCGCCATCTTTTTTACATTAGTCCAGACTGGACAAACTAAACACCTTTTGAGTTTTTATGACAACTGAAGCTACCACATGTTCTTTTTCATGTTTGGAAGGAGAGGGTGAGGTGAGGGGTGTTCAGCTGCAACATGCAACTTCAACACTGGATATCACTAAATTCTACAAACTGTACCTTTAAGGCAAGCTGTATATTCTGCAAATATGACACATTACACCTGTTTTATTGCTTTCAAACTATGTGTAAAGCTAAAGTTGAGTGGGTTCTGATTATAGCTGTGCTATGTTTTAGATTCCTCCGTCTCAACGGGCCGGTCTGTGGCCTAGTTTCCCGAGCTACCCTGTCTCTGGAGACAAGGCAAGCCACTGTGAGAAGGAAAGGAGGGAAAGAGGGAGAGAGAGAGAGAGAGAGAGGGAGGGGAGTAGAAAAAACAAGAGAAAGACAATCTGTGGCACCCATTGAATCTCATTTGTAATGTTTGTGAAACCAGCTGGAAATGCTTATCCTGTGAGAGAAGGGGGGGTTGAGGCTCGGGGCTTTGTCAAAGGGAAGTGCTCGTTGGACCATGGGGTAAGCTGGATCGCTGGGTCGCAAACACCTACCATCAACACACACAAACAACTCAAGTTCTCCTCCTGTGGACAGTTGTGTATGTGTGTTTGCAGGAGGAGGTGATAAAAGAGAAAGCAAGGTTGTGCTTTCGGCCATGTTTACTATAAGCTTCTGTTTCTCCGACAAGTCCCAGTCCCCTAACATTTCATTTTCTAGAGACTCCTGTGCGGCACAAAGGCCCAGACTAGAAGACGGTGTTGTTATTTGGCACCATAAAACATCTCTTCAGAGAGCTGTTACCCACTCAAATATTTATTGGCCTATCAAACAAAGAGTGATATCTCGGTGAAAAGGGTCCCTGTTTTTAGATGCTCACCCCCGACTGGCAAGAGGCGTGCTGCTGGTGGTGGGGACATCTTTTAAAAAGGGGACATGTTTTGGTGATGCCATTGTTCGGGATAGTGTGAAGACTAGCTGAAAGTGCTCAAGGGATGAGTGTGTGAGAAAGAGAAAAGGACGAGGTTGAGTCAGGGGCTTAGTAAAGTCGATGTGCTTGATGCTCAGTTTGCTGAGCCCTAACTTGGAGACTGATACTGACAGGAGTGTATTCTGGGCTGCATGCACTGGCACAGGTTGTTGACAAAATCGCAGGATGTTGTCATTCTAGCACTGTTGATAGTGGGACCTCACATTCAATGTGTTCATGTGTTCAGTGCCAGATGTTGTCTGTGATTTTTCGGAACATTTTATTTGTCTTAAATGCATTACAAAAAGCTGTATTCCAATTGCAACACGTCTCCTATCTCCTATTCTGTCTTGATTCAGGGAAACATCACATGATGTGGTGATCGAACATGGCCTCCGGCACCTTGGTGATCTTCTCAACAGCTTGAGTTCTGATTACATCACCCAGAGATGCTGATGCTCTGTTGAGAGACAGAACATGTGTGGG